CAAACACCCGGCTTTCCGGCCATGGCCCGAGGCTCCGGCAGGTCTTGCAGCGGTTGCCCTGGATGCAGCCGATGCAATTCGCGGAGTAGAAGTCAGGGCCTCACCAAAAGCGAAAACGCGTCGTGGAGTCGGGTGGCGCGTGTCCTTTTTTTTGGGGGAGTCGGAGGTTGGTATCCCTTTTGTGTGGCTTAGGGCAAACCGAAAGAAACAACACCTCTCTTTTGTTGCCGTGTGTGTGTGTGTTTTGTTTTCCCGTTTTTTTTTTGGGGGGGGGGTCCGATCCCTAAAAAACGTCACACGGCACATATATACCCATATCATTTGTGTCTATGTCGCATTAAACGCATCTGTGTACGAGTCGTTGCGTCTGTGTACATACGTATATATATATATATATGTGTACATGTGTGTATATATATATATGTACACAGTATACAAATATCAAATATGTGTGCATAGCTTAAATCTTACACCTGCAAACATGTTTCTGTCTGGCGTTCCTTGAAAAACAAAGGTCTGTGGGGGAGCGTTCCCATTTGACCCCAAAAACCTCGTCGAACACATCGGACATGTATCTCTTCAATGGCATTCAACTTGAGTTTCCAGACCGGGATACCATCGTGCACAGCGCGTGTCTTTTAGGAGACCTTCCAGAATGGTGGTTTGCCTTTGGTGTCATGTGAAAAGCCACAGCAAGGGAGGACCCTCCAAGAACAAGAAACCACACGCCCAATGCATTCCGCGCTCCCAAAACTAAATGTTCAGAGATCCGTCAGCCCTCTTAACGCAAGCGTTTTGCTGTAGAATTGCTGAAAAAGAGAGACAAACTGACCAAACCGTGGAGTCTGAAAATGATGGAGTCTGAAAATGCTAGATAATTGCTGAAAATTGGAGAATCGCAAAAAATTGGAGAATTGCTGAAGGGGAAAAACTTACCAAACCAGAAGGAAGTCTATTGCTGAGGAACCACTTCCCGCTGAAGTACGCATGCCAGGCTACGCCCGGGGTAACACTCGCCGGCGCAGTTGTCGTAGGCACAGGTGAAACCTGCAAGAGTGCGTTGGCGAAAAAGAGTCCAGGAAATTGTCATTTGCCGCTAAAAAGGTTTAGATCCCAAAAGTTGAAAGTCCAGGAACTCAGCGAGTGAGCGAAATTAGCTGGAGGGCACCTGGAAGACAACATTCCTCAAGGGACCCCTGGCGCCATCTTCGTGGGGTGATCGTAGTTGAGATGCATCCTGATTCAAGAAACTCCACACCGACGCCTTGAGATCCTGCGAAGCACCTCAGGAAGTGTGATGTTCAAATGAGCCATGGTCAGACATTAGCTTGTCTTCTCCTTCAAGGACATGGATGTCGATGTGTCCTTTTTTGGGGACCCCCCCTGCCCGCCCAAGGCAAAAAGCAAGAAAGTGGCTGTCCTGTGGCTTCCCTTGAGCACCACAAAGATGGGGTGCCCTAAAAGAAGACAGACCACAAATGGGGAAATCCCCTTTCCCGTGGCATGTTGCGGACTCACATGGGTTCTGGGTCCTTCTACGTTTGGGGGGAGCGCATCCCAACCACCCAAACCGCTCCAACCAGCTGAAAATTATATTGTCTAATAATTCCACCACCTGAAAAAAAAAGGGACTCCAGGTATCATCTAAAAAATGAACAAACGTTAGCCACAAATTTCATGACTGCCCCGATAGCCCGATACCACTGGACTTCAAGCTCCGCGAATGTCTGATCGAGGTGATCCAGCCCGACACCAAACTCTTTGCGACACTTTGAGCACGCTGCAGGCCTCAAGGACTTCCACAAATGATTGCCAAGGAAATACCAACAAGCAAACGCTTTCCCATGGTTTCAAGGTGGTGCGAAATGGATTTCCTCCATCCACAGTTGGGCTTCTTTTGGAATCACATCTGTTCAGAAGCGTTCTGACGCATTCTCAACCATCTGATTGGTTGAAAACCTGAATAAGATACCCTTGACACAAAAGGAGAGCTCGCCTAATATTGGCGCAAACGATTGGAGTTAGGCCCTGCTATATACATCCTATACCTTGCTTGACTGTTCCTCGGTGAGAGGTACAACACAATATATCTCAACTCTACCCCTCAGAAAGTTGCAACCGGAGAGCCTGGTCCTTAAACAAAAGACGGATAGGGCCTCCTCGTTCTTCGCAAAATAGCCAACCCCTTCCCCAACCCACCTCCCCACCTCCCCACCTCCCCACCTCCCCACCTACCCATCCACAAAACCCACCTACCCACCTACCCATCCACCTACCCACCTACCCACCCACAAAACCCACCCCCCGCCCACCCCGCAAAATCCATCCTTGTCCTCACGCCCTTCCCGAAACGAGTCGAGGGCCTTCGCCCAGGCAGTTGCTGCAGGTCGCAGACACTGCCGGTGCCCCGGACTGCATGCACCCGGAGATGCAGCCCGCCATGTCGCCGCCTGGCAACGAGGCCGAAATTTTGGCTGTGGGTCAAAATCCCGTACCCCCAGTGAACATCCCAATCCCCACTAAAATAGACTAAAATGGGTGGTGCACCTACCCCAAAATGGTACCATTGGTGTTGACCCGCGGCCATATGGCTGTGGGTCAAAAATGGGTACCCAAAATGGAACCCTGGTACATGGAACCCATGACTAGATTAGGCAGTCCCTGGTGGTGGCCCATTTTTGTTTTGCTTCGGCCTTTCAGACCTACCAACCAACCGGCAACCAGGCCAACAAGCCGACCAAATTCAGGCAACCCGCCAGGTTGGTGGTTTGCATGGGAGGTTTGGATTTAGATTTGAACCCGTGGTTGTAAAGGGTGAATGGGAAACCAATCCAAACCACGAATTACAGCAAAGCTGACAAAACACATAAAAACAACCCGCTAACAACCCGCGATCCGGAAGGCTTTTCTTCGGCGGGTGACTTTTTTCTCCCTGGGTTCAGGGGATTGTTGCAAACGGTGCTGGGAATGTTGACGGCGATGGTGTCAAACAGGTGCAGCATTGTAGGCCCCCCCTCCAGCCTCGTTTTCAGCGAAACTTTGGTTTAGGCTGGTTGGGGTGCTTTTCAGGTGCTTTAGGGTTGGTTTCGGGTGGGTTTAGGTTAGGATGGATTTCAGTTGGTTTAGGGAGGATTTCTGGGTGGTACAGGGTGGGTTTAGGGTTGGTTTAGGGTGGGTTTGCTTCGTTTGGGATTTCGTCAGGGTGGGTTCAGGTTTGGTTTAAGCTTGGTAGAGCTGTGTCTTGGGGTGGATTTGGTGATGGTTTTGGGTTTGGTTTAGTGTTGGTTTATTGTGGGTTTAGGGTGGGTGCAGGTTTGGTTTAAGCTTGGTTCGGTTGTGGTTTAGGGTGGGCTTAGTGGTGGTTTAGTGTGGGTTTGGTTTAGGGGTGGTTTCGCGTGGGTTTAGGGTCGAACAATTCGGAAGTCATTGGGCATGCCCTTCCTATGCTAACCCTTTGGCGGGTTCAGACAATTGGATAAACATGATAAGCCAGTGTCTTCTTTAGGCTTCCCAATGGGGCACCGGGTTTTCATTGAATGATGCCAAACCCCGGCTTTAAGCAAAGGAACCACTTGCTTGAACAACAAGTTGAACTTGTTGTTTGCCACTAGAAATTGGTCCAAAAAGAGACATCTCGTCCGGGCGATCTGCGAGTGAGCAGACAAGAGAAGCCCCTTAAGGCACCTTGCGGAAGCCCGTCCGCCCAGACCCCCAAGCCTTCAGCTGATGGGGAAACACACAAGCGCACATCTACAAGGACCAGAATCCAAAGCACAATGAGATTCTGGGCGCCCGCATGTCGGGGGTCCCGACAAAGCTTGGTCCAGGATACTGCTTGCTCAAACGAAACATCCAAAGTTTCACCCGAAAGAAAGCCGTTTTGGGCAAAAATCAAGATTCCACATTTTGTTCAACCATCTATTCAAAACCAGGATCTGTTCTCATGAAGGGTCTGGATGCTAAATTGCACGAGCCCCCTGCGGGAAGGGATGAATAAGTGTTTTCAATACGTTGGGCAGAAGGAAGTAACACCTGCAACCCTAGACTAAAAATTTGTAGTAAAACACTTATCCATCCCTTCTCGCAGGGGCTCGACTCAGATATTGCCCCCAGCCAGCACTCTGCAAATTTCCAGGTTGATGTGCTTGTCGTATCAAAACTGCAATTCGATTTGAACATCTGGCTGATGTTGCCAGACGGGGGCTGTTTTCTTCCATTTGTTCGCATGGGAATTTGAATGTTGTAGACTCGACAACATTTCTCGTCGGTTCAACACCATTCCCCGTGTCGCCCACTCGACAACATTTCTCGTCGGTTCGACAACATTTCCAGAAATGTTGTCGGGTCGACAACTCTTTTCCTTTTCCTGTGGAAAATTGAAATGTCGTCAACTCGACAACATTTCTCGCCGGCTCGGCAACATTTCCGAAGATTTCGTCGACTCGACAACATTTCTCGTCGATTTGACAAGTCTTTCCTTTTCCTGTGGAACATTGAAAATGTCGTCGACTCGACAACATTAACAACTTTGATATTTTCCCGTGAAAGTTGAAAATGACGTCGACTCGACAACATTTCTCGTCGATTCGACAATTCCGGAAACTTAGTCGGCTCGCCAACATTTCTTGTCGGTTCGACAACTTTTTTCCTTTTTCCCAAGAGGAAACAAAATGTTGTCGACTCGACAACATTTCTCGTCGATTCGACAACATTTCCGGAAATTTCGTCGACTCGACAACATTTCTCCAAGATTCGATCACATTTCTCGACTCGACACAATTCTCGTCGATTCGACAACATTTCCGGAAATGTTGTCGAATCGACAACATATCTCGTCGATTCGACAACATTTCTGGAAAGGTTCGTCGGTTGGTGTTTTTTCCAGAAAAAAACTGTGAAAACACTTATTTTTAAGGCAAAAATGACAAGAAAACACTTATTTTTATGCCCCCAACTCCGTGAAAACACTTATTGAAAAATGCTGCGCAAAAATGTTGTCAACTCGACAACATATCTCGTCGAATCGACAACATTTCCAGAAATGTTGTCGAATCGACGAGATATGTTGTCGAGTCGACGAGATTTCCGGAAATGTTGTCGAATCGACGAGAAATGTTGTCGAGTCGACGACATTTTCAAATTTCACGCCAAAAAGGAAAAACTTGTCGAGTCGAGCAGGTTTCTAGAAATGTTGTCGAATCGACGAGAAACGAGTCGACGACATTTTCAATTTTCACGGGAAAAAGGAACAAGTTGCCGAATCGACGAGAAATGTTGTCGAGCCGAAGAAATTTCAGGAAATGTTGTCGAATCGACGAGAAATGTTGTCGAGTCGACGAAATCTTCGGGAATGTTGTCGAATCTTCGCGGCCGCCTTTGTAAGGCAGTGAGCGCCTCCATGCCATCCGCTGTTGCTAGTACTGCTTGAGTTCGCGCTTCTGCTTGTGAACGCTTGTTGCTTGAGCTGTGCTCCGTGCATGAGGGCATGCCCACACTCTTGTGAATGATGCTTCCGCAACGCAGTTGCATTTCCAACTGCGACCATGAGACTCACTGATTCCTCCAAGGCAAACTGCAACAGAAAGAAGATGCCACATGACACATGATGCCACCAAGCTAAATCCTCAATGAGTTGCATGGTCCTTGGTTGATCCGGAAAAGGCTCGTCGAGCTTTTGGAATCTTATTGAACCTGCAAATTGCAAAAGGTCAGATTATCAGCAAGTAACACCCCATTCAGGTTGGAAGAAAACCGATATCGTCCATCAGATCTGTCGCCTCCAACGTTTCAACAGGGGGAAACCTGGTTGCCTTGAGGAAGTGTTCAAACCAGTCCGCGAGTCGTGTGAAACACTTCTTGATTTGGAATAGGCCCCCCCCCTGAGCTCGTGCAATTTAGCAGGTCTGGATGTTTTTCGTTCAGAATGGTTGGGTTCAACCCCCCTTCTTTCCAAAAAGAACGGCTCCGTGGCTCGCCAAAGTTGTGGTTGGTTGGTACAGGGTTCTGGGAGGATTTGTGGTTGGTACAGGGTGGGTTTATGGTTGGTTTAGGGCTGGCTTCGCGCGGGTTCAGGGTGGGTGTCTCGGTTCCCTCCGCAAGAACAAGGGCGGCGAGCGGACGGAGTCATTCCGCCTGCGGAGAGGCACCCGGGAGCGCAGCTCATCAGCTTCTCCTGCCGAAGAAAAAAGTTGCCGTTTTGGGGAGGCCCTGAACCAAGAATTCCTGGAGGTCCCTGGTTCCCTTTTTCTTGGATAACGTTGGAAGGGGAGCAAAAATAATAATTTCAGCAGGTCAGCGGGGATTTGAACCACTGCAATAAGCAAAAATGTAAAAAGTGTCCCAACAACAACCATGTTTTGGCCTTTGCGCTAGCGCACTGCGTCTGATGTTTTGGCCTTTGCGCTAGCGCACTGCGTCTGTTCGACGCAGCGATGTTTGTTGCGAGAGGGAAAGAAGGAGAAGGCCCCAAAAACAAACAAGTCAGGGGAGCAGAAGAAGGAGAGGTCCATTTTCCCTTCAATAGAGGGTCCGAAATCTGATGCTTAGGGGAATGTGTCGTGACGTCATGCCCAATCTTTTCTATGCCCTGCGGTTGGAAATTAAATCGAGTCCCCCCCTGTGAGTCCCTCCCAAATGGACCAGAAATAGACACCACTCATTTCCGACCGCAGCTCATATCTGTTGAACGCATGGGACGTCGTGGTTGGTACTCCCGGCAACAGGTGTCAGCCTTCGCGTCCCAGCATTTGTTGCCTGGAGGTCATGGGATTACAGAGGCGGAACCTCGAGGTGATCAAATGCCGCCACCATGGGTATGTCTCAAAATCACCGAATTCTGAAGATGCCTTACAGCACAAATGGCAAATGTCTGAAAGTTGGTTCACAGCCAAAGTGTTTGGGTTAAAGGAGCCTACCCAAACCCAAACCCAACGAGTGTCCCCGGACTCGCCCCAGCCTCCCAACTCTGCTGAAATGAAACCTGGCTGGGTCTGGAAGACCATGTTGCTCTTGAAGTGACCCTCTGGTGGGTTCCATTTTGGCAGGGCGGGTGTGCAACTTTGGTGTTGTCACATCTGGCGATGCGCTCAAGACTTTCTTGCATCGGGCAGCCCCGAAAAAATGCGCAGAAAAGGCCTGGTGAAGCCTCCGTGTGACGTTCAGCTAACTTCGTGCAGGGCGGCGTTTAGATTTTAGACATGCACACGCGCACGCACATCCTTTCGGACCTGCGAAACCAATGAAATGGTAAAAAATGGGATCGGTGTGCCTTGGGCGACCCCCAAGGGCTTCCGGATTTGTCTGCTGCACAGCAGATCCAATTGCGACAAAGCCAACAGCTTCTTTTGCGTTGTGTACAGGTTCTTGTCGCCGTTTGCCAGGGTGGGGGCCACTCAGTTTTGGAGCAGCCGCCTTCCGCTTTCAGCTGGCAGGAGCCTCAGGTACAAGCTTTCTTGGCATCTTTTGTACAAGTTTGCAGCATTGCCCCAGCCTGCTGCTACGGGGTGGACCTCGAGAAGTCTTGGATGTTTGCTTCTTCTTTTAAGCCACTCCGTGCTTTGGGGGGTAGGTGCCCCCATGGCTACGGGTCCCACCAGTCCATTCGCGGCGTCAGGGATGACCAGGGACACTTTCTCAGCCAGCGGGCTGCCGAGTACCCCCCTCTTTTGGCTTCACTGTATGTGCAGCAGGTGTCAGTGCTTTTCGACACCAAGCCTCCCAGCACGGACCTGGACCTGACCCTGCCGCGCTTGCTTTCTGAAATCCCGGCCAAAGCGCTCGACGCTCGGCCCTTGGCGGTTCAGGACGGAGGCGGTTTGTGCTCGCAGCCAGACTGGAGTGTCCCGCGGACGTCGGCAGTCGACCCGCTTGGTGGTTTGCGCAAGTCCATTTTGTCCTTTATTACGGACAGATCTTTCCCGAGGCGCCTACTGGAGCACGTCTCCAGCGGACACGACTGTGCAGCAGGTTTATGTCGCAGTCAGGTGATCACCCCAAGCCCGTGATCACTTGCCCGGCTAATCCCAAATGGATTTCCGATACCCCAAGCCATTACCCCCATGGACCTCACATGGGACATTAAAATGCCACTCTTTTGGCTATTGAAAGGGAAATCAAAAGGCAACCCATCATATTCTAGGGGATTCCTACTGTGGATGGACAAAACCCTGCAACACTCAGGATGGATAAAACCCTACAAATATTGACGCAAATCACTTGCCATTACAAATGGGACAAACTACCAATCCCAACTGAAGCACGGGATCACAAACTAGGTGGGAAACCGTCGATCCCACATACCCATGTTCGATCCCGAAGAAACCTGGATGAACCCCGACGGCAACCAAGTCAAAAGTTGAGTGGGGTGTAAAGTAGTCAAAGTCAAAAGTCAAAAGCGGTCAAACGATTTCACTTTGGCCCTATAAACTTTGGCCTCTTATACCTGTGTTTTTTGTTGCTTCTTCCATTGGTGTCTTTTGCCAACCCTCCCTTCTTGGGTACTCCACTGCGGCGGCCCGTGGCGTCCTTGTTGCTGAAAAGGCAGTGGGCCTCCGCATAGCTCAGCAACACCAGCGCCACAAAGCGTGCCATGGCAAGGAGCTTACCTCGTGACGCTCCCGGAGGGACCCCCCGAAAAATGCTTGTTAAGAGCAGTGAAAAACGGGCAAGCCAAACAAAAAATACACAACCTGAAGCATCAGCCTCAGTGCAGCGGACACAATCGACATTCGCACTGCTTAAACCCGAGAACCCGAGTCAGTTGGCAAAATCTTGGAAACCCAGAGGCAGGCACAGCAAATCGAGTCCCTCGCGAGGGCCAGATGGCCCACGGGAAAGCAGAATGGTATTCTCACACCTCAATCCGAGAAACACATGAGTCCGAGGAACCGCAGTGTCCAAGGAACTCGTGGGGTAGGAACACAAATCCCCCCTTCCCAAAAACAAAAGGAAGAATCACCCGCTTAGCGGCAGCGTGCCAAGCGGATGGGGCTCTGGCGAAGTCAGCATGGTGAACGCCCGGCTCCTGCAAGCGCAGTGCCAGACGCGCCGGCATCAACGTGCCCCACTGGTGACTTCTATCAGCTGCCCCCGCACCGCGGACGCGCGACGACTTGACGGCCCCAGAATTTCTGGCGTACTACGGCAGAGTTGGAGGAGCGCGAAAGGTGCAAGGATGCTTGGTGAAATAATATTGTAAATAATGTTGAAAAGATCCAGTCCTCAGTGTCATCCGGTCCATGCAGGAGTCGGAGAGATGGATTGAAGTCCGCATAGTCAAGTGAGCTGGTCTGCCCAAGTGTTGGAGCATCTTGGCTGATCTCTTCAAGGTGGCATGCGAGTTCCGCTCGTTGTCCGTGTGGCTCGGGAGACTTTCTCGATTCAGGATGCACAGCGGGAGTGAGGCGAAGAGCTCCAAGGCCTCAATGCGTCTAAGGGGTTGCGGTCGGGCCGGGGATGGCCAATTGCCGCTTTGAGCAGAAGCGTGAAGTCATCCACGAACACCATGACTTACAGGTAGTCCTCATCCGAGTGGCGGGTAAGTCCTCTGCAGGGGAAAAAGCAACCAACAAAAACCACGACATAATGCAGCACCAACATGCGCAAAAGCGAGGGGGCCTCAAAACTTGGATCAGCACCTTCCCAAGCCGGGTCGCTGCGGATGTTCAATCACCGCCTGTGGACCAGTTGTCATCGTCGCCCTGGAGCGGAAACCTGCCAGTGACGGCAGGCGGTCCATCACTTCGTCCCCCGCTACCCCACGTGGGCTTTGGAGCTGGATTGTGTGGCAGGCGCGCGATTTTGAGCGATCGCATGCTCCTGTGAAACCTGGACAGCTTCGTGCTCCAGGCTCCGGCTCCTTTCAAAAACTGCGCCTGCGCGCCAAATTGGCACGCGCATGCTTGTGATTCGTCCCGCAAGAGCCCGGCTGACACCAGGTCCCGCGTGGGTTTTTGGAGCTGGGTTTCGTGGCAGGCGTCAAACGTTCCCGAGCCAACCGCCGAGAATATTGTCACCCTACGCATCATGCGACCCGTGAAACCTCCACAAGGGCCATGCTCGGGTAAGTGACTCAAAGCATTTCCTGAGAAAATGCTTTACAGCGACCTGAGACGCTTCCCGAGCTCGTCTTGGCACGCATCTTACATTCCAAGAAGGGCATTAACAACTCCCCTTGCAACAAGGCCAGAACTTTTCCAAAAGCTTTGAAAGCGCAACGGCCAATGTCAGCACCCAGCAGCCATAAACATTTGGAACATGCCACTAGTTTTGCAGGAGTGGCGCTAGCCCGCAATGGCTCTGGGCTTTTTGGAAACTGGTGGGGGGCGCTCTCATGCTCAGCGCTGCACACACACTCATGCCTCTAGAGGCCACGCTCTGGACCAGCGCGCCCACTTAAGAGCACACGCTCAGCTTTGCCAACATGCCTGCCACATCATAAGCAGAGCGCTGCACACATGCTTGCCAGATGATAAGCAACCCGCTCGGAAGCACCTGCCCAGCACTGCACACATGCCTGCCAAATTATAGACCGCGCGCTCAACACTGCACACATGCCTGCCAAGCGAAAAGCGCACACCCGATCAAGAGCCCACACTAGAACCCCACAAGATACAGGAAGTACACATTGACTCACGTAGATCGCGTGACACGATGAAACAAACACACAGGTCAGTGTCAGCCCGGCGCGTCAAAGCCCTAAGAAACCTGGTAACACCATGGCTTGAGAGGGCCGATGCTCATTTTCGTGAAACCCATTGCGGGTCGATTTCAAACCTGTGTGGAAGCCCCGAACCTAGCAAACAATAGAGGGTGCAACTGAATGCGGCAAACATATACTTTGACTCGCCATGGATAAATATATGTATATAGTTTTTGACACAGTCCTAAGCAAATTGGGCCCTCCAAAAAGACCGTTTTGAGGTTCAAAACCGTCCCGTGGAGGGTCCAATGATATCGATTTGTAGTGTAGAGAGAGAGAGAGAGAGAGAGAGAGAGAGAGAGAGAGAGAGAGAGAGAGAGAGAAAGAGAGAGAGAAAGAGAGAGAGAGAGAGAGAGAAAGAGAGAGACAGAGAGAGAAAGCGAGAGAGAGTCAGAGAGGTACCTTGTAACAAATGCTTTGAGACTCTGAAATACATTCACAGGACGTGCAACTCCGTGCAAATTCCAACCAAGCAGAAGCTAATCTCAACGTTGAGTAGGAGATCCCATTTAAACAACTCGAAAGTCACATTGGCGTGCGGGAGTATGCAAAGTGGACTTTGGCAGCTCCAGCTCAAAAGGCACAACTTTTAAGCCACAAGAGTTGCGCGCGATGTATGCCTTGGCATCTTCAACGTGCCTGTAGCAGCTCTATTATTTGGTTATGTGTTTTTTTGTTTGGCAGAGAATTCCAGGAAATCATCAACTGGGGGGAACGGACCTCATTCCTACTTGAAATTGACATCCAAGTCAAAAAAAATGCATCATGTCCTTGCGCAGCTGCATTTACATGTTAAATACTCCTTGCATAATTCCATGTACGTTCTAGTTAGGTTGGTTTAGTGTGTTCTTTTTGCAAAACAACTATCTCAGTTGTGCTTTGCTTGTCCAATTTTGCTCTGTCATTGTCAATAGCAACTATTGAAATTCCAATATAGGAAGGATATCTACAGGAAGTATACCTAAAATGCGTTCGAGTTCAAGCCAACGTTCATTTCAATCGTTTGCAGATCTTGTGCTCACAAGAACATCGCAAACCATACCTATTGTTACGGCCAGGCAAACTTGGAATCAAACTCAATTTCAAAAGGGTTATTGTCCTTTTCTAACTCCATGTGGTTTTAACCGAGCAAGAACTAAGCCAAGCCAATGACAAAAACGTGTTTTTCAACATAGATCTTACTATTGGTATACAACGCTATGAAACGTTCTGTTTGCAGCATTTGCTGAGATCGTGTTGCCCTGGATCCAAGATCGAATGGTCAAGATTCCACAAGCATAGTTTTAGAACATCCTCATTGAGGTTTCCCCCCCCCCCGTATTGAAGAGTTTCTCCCTGGCGAAATGAAGGCGGTGCAAGTGCACATCCACAAATTGGCTCTGACAACGTGCACTCCCTGTCTGCCTTTTGAATTCTTCAAATCCATACATAGGAAAATCCAGGATGTGCTAGCACGTGCTAGCACATCCTGGATTGAAGATTAAAGATTGAAGATTCGCTGAAAACTCTTTATGCAATTCTTCAAATCTGTACTTGGGGCAATTCAGGATGCACTAGCACATCCTGAATTGAAGATTGAAGATTGAAGAATCCCAGAAAGAGTTGTCAGACAATCTTCAATCTTCAATCTTCAATCCTTGATGTGCTAGCACCTGGATTGCGCTAAGTACCAATGCTATAATTTCAAGCCCAAAAAGGGGTGCATTTTGAGAGCATCATTTTTAGAAGCTGGAAAGTGTGTTTTACATGCATTTTTCCGGCCAAAATGTTAATTTATTGTCAAACACCCAAGTATTCCAGGCGGGGCGGGGGGGGGGGGGAAGATTATATATATATATATATATTTATATACAACAGCTGAAATGTTGTTTGCCCATGTTTGGAGACAGAAAAACAAAAAGCGGCACATTGTCCCTAAGCTTGGTTGACGTTGGAAGGGGAGCAACAATTTGAGTTTTAGCAGTTAAGTGGGGATGTCCCACTCAACCACAACAAGCAAAAATGTAGAATGTTTCCCAACAACAACCATGTAAGGGAGTTGGGGTTCCCAAAGGGTCCAAGATCCAAATGACTCGGGCTGCTCCGAATCGATGGACTGGAAAGTGGGCCCCGGGAAAGGCACGAGCGACTTCTTCAGGGAGCCGGGGTCGAAAGTAGGGGTTCCCCAACTTCCGTTTGCTTTTCCTTCAAAGAAAACGCCGGAGGAAGAAAAAACAGAAAGAAAGTGCAAGAAACCAAAATGAAGAAAAAACATAAAAATATAAAGGGCGCCCCAGAAAGAAAGCTCAAGAAACCAAAATGAACACAGACTCGTAGCATGTTCTTCCGCCACTTGGCCACGGCTTTGGGAGAAACCCCGCCGAGGTCTCGTAATGGATCGGCCAAGGGCCCGGCGGTTCACGCGAGGAGCTGAGGACGGTCGTTGCAAACGGCTGCCATCCGAGCCAAAAGGAAGCGGCAAAGGGCCGTGCAGCACCCTAAGGGCAACACAAAACATAAGAACCTTGGTTGCTTTCTGCTCCCCTGCTAAAAGTGCCTAACTTTTAGTGGTTTAATGGAAAACCCATTAGCTGGCAAAAAGTTAAAGTCCTAACATCCCTTGCCAAAATGCACCAAAGGAACCATTTGTCTATCCTTGCGGTTTCTCTGAAGGCTCGCAACACCCCTGGCCCCCTGTGCGGCTAACATGATGGTCTTCCAAAACAAATGTTTTCCACTTGCTCACAAAAGAGTGTATCTCACTCATCCCAAATCCGGTGCTTGACGGGTTGCTACATAAACCTCTCTCAAAGGTGGTCCGGCATAAATGTCCACAGAAGTGATGTCCAGAGAGTACCCTGTTGAAGTTCACACCCGTACAAAGGAAGCTACACAATTGCGCACACTATTCTCCCATGATCACTACTCATGTTTTTCTCAGAACATTCGAATCATTCAGGCCCGTCCAGTCCTCAACAACCTCACCCGAAATGAATTCTGCCAGCAACCTTGTTGTTGGAACTGTCTGGAACCTGCCGCCCCAAACCCACGCTTGGTCAATGGACCCGATAGTGCCATTTGCAGTTGGCGAAAACTAGACGGCAAGGGTGCATGATTATACCCAAACTGAAACATGTGCGATGTAGCTTCAACCAAACTGACCTGGACCGTGCCAGCTGTCTTAAGCATCCTCGTTCACGCTTCCTTCAAGCATGGATCTGCGGTCTTGGGACCAACTTCAAACCGTTTGAAGGGTCCTGGCTGTACATTCTGTTCAGTGGACCTCAAAAAGGGCCTTTTTGAGGGCCCAAGATGCGGAAAAGAATGGTGTTCAGAGAACAGAAACACGCCAACAGCGGCAGCCCCCCTTTTGTCTAGCAGGAAAGGACATGCTTGGAATGGCCACATTGCATCGGTTTTGGAGTCAAGCCGGTCGCATCATAGCCTAAAGCGATGGATCTGTCTGGGCCCCCCAGCCCGGCGGAACATCCCCCGCGCTTCCTCAGCACGGCGGAGATCAGACTCCAGTCCCCAAGCCGTTTGTCCAGAACTAGGTCAAACAAAGTTTCACAGAGACTGCCACAGAGAGAGAGAGAGAGAAAAAGAGAAAGAGAGAGAGAGAGATCTCCAGGCAGATTCTCGAAGACAGGGAGGGAGGGAGTGAGTGAGGAAGGGAGGGGAGGGAGGGGAGGTTACGGGAGCTTCTTCAAAAAACATATGCAGCAAATGAAAGCGCTGGACCTCGCAAGGGAGCCGCTTGGCCGTTTTCAAACAAATCCCTTCAGGTGTCGGAAGACCAGACATCGGTTGCACACCGAATCCCTCATCCAAAGAATGTTGCCACGTGCTTAAGACCCCTAAAAACATCAAACATTTCCAGCAGTGATACGTTACCTTGAAACCAAGAGGGGGAATCAAAAATCAGCTCAGGGGATATCTAGAATAGCATGAGGCGCAATTCCGCGCCCATGGAACCCTTCTCAGAGCGCATCCCTGGGATCCGCCCCAGACCCCCGATCTGAACAAAGACCCCATTGCCTTCAGCGATTTGGGGAATATTCTTAAGCAAATGGAAACTCTGTGCAATGGCGATACGCGGGGACGGAACCCCCGACATGTCCGCTTGAATATTCGGCAACTTCACCCAAGCGCTTTCCGCTTTCCGGAGGGAAGCCACCCTTGCTTCTTGCTTGCCTGGGCTTGACTGTTCGTTGCCTGTGAGATTGACCGAAGTAGCCCTCAAACATATGGCTGTGGCTCAAATAAATGTCCCAAAATGGCAGCCTGGTAAATGGAACCAAAAGACTCCAAAGACGAAAAGCCGTGTAACCCCAGCTCTTGAATTTTGAGCCACACCCATATGAGTCACTGACAAACTGGTTGGTCTACTGCTTGCGGCCCGCGGCCAAAGAGACCTTCCAGTGGCGCCTTTGGTTTCCGCTGGCGGAATGTTATGTCAGTGTCTGGTTCAACAGGAAGTGAGACTACATGGCTGTGGTCAAAACTAGGTACCCCAAATGGGTTGCCCTGGTAAATGGAAACATGGAGTAAAACCTGATCCCCTGATGGTGTAATGTTTGACCCATGCCCACATGTGCCCTTCAAGGGCTTTGTGCAAGGGCAGTCAAAGGCAAGGTGGGCACGGTCCAGGAGAAGCACCGGGCAGGTGCAACAAATACTTCGTCAATCCAATCGAAACACCTAAAGTTCCTGGGCCCCCCACAAAAACAGCTCATGTGTTGGGACTCTACAAAAAAAAATACATGCTTAGGGCAATGGACAGTTAAGGGGACATTTCTAAGCGCAAATTAGAGCTTCCCGTTTGTTGGGGAAGGCTGGTGAGTAGTAATTTGGTAATTTGGTAATTTGGTGAGTGTGGCATATGTCATCTTTGCTACAGTGGCAAATGTTGACCATTGCTCGTGTGCTAAAGATTGTGAGCAATTAAAAGGGGACCTTGTGGATGGGTTCTATCATGGGACACACCTATGCTGCTACTATCATACCCTCCATTGAAAGGGTTTTAGGGACCTCCATGCATTGGTTAAGTTTTGACCTCAAAAAGGAATTGCCTTTTGAAGGGCCAAAATGCTTCGCAAAGTAAGGCCTTGCTCATGGAAAAAAGGATGCTGACTTGACAAACATACAAGCTGAAAAGACGTCTCAAAGACGCCTACCGAAAAAATGGATGCTGACTTGACAAACATACAAGCTGAAAAGACGTCTCAAAGACCCGTGGGCCTTGCCACATCTTCGTGCTGTGCCAAGTGTCGGCGGGCGAAGATCATTGACGACTCGCCCTGCAGCCGTAGCTTCACCCATGGCAACCCACCCAACTCCGGCTGTAGACAACCCATGTTCTCCGTTCCTCTTGGCAATATGGGGGGGTGGTCAATATTCCGTTCGGCCCTCAAATGACAAGGGTAACTATCCAATTTGGAGGGAAATATATAATCTTTTAGTGATTCTCCCCGATGCTCATCCCGTGCAACGGACCTTGTGATCAACCCCCATTTGGGTTTTCGGCCCTCCAAAAAAAACCGAGGGGTGTTCAACTGAGAAACCTGCCAGGTGTCCTGAAAAACAACGGCACACAACGTTTGGCTTGGCTCTCGTGGCAGCTTCCTACGGTCGGTGGATCATTGGAACCGAAGGCCTGGGTCCGACTTAGTGCCACGGGCTCCGAGAGTCTCTTTCAGCGTAGACCCTTTTCCGTGGGCGGGTCGAGTTTTGGGGGGAGGGGCGCTTGAGAACCGTAGGATTGGCCCCCAAACCACGTACATGAAGCTGACTCGCAAACGAACAGCGGAGAGAATTGGAAGCCAACAGGCGGGATTGGAAGCTCCAGCCATGCTTTCCCAAGCCTAAAACATCTTCCTGACCGAAGGTTTTCTGTATGTCAGGACTCCCTAGAGCATGTATTCGGCTAGTGAGTTGAAACAAGCTGCCCTTGGAGTGGTTTGGATTGCAGTGGTTTGCCCTCAAGAAATCCACTTGCTGCCTGAAAACTCCACAGCTTCAAATCAGAGTTTGTTTGCTACTTGAAAGGGAAGCTTCGTCTGGCACAAAGATTGACGGGACCCTCCGCCCCCCCCCCCCCCAAAGAAAAAGGTGGGTTTGCCTTTTAGCTTTCCTTCGAACGACTCTAGAGACCCCTGGCCCTCCAGCCCGCTCGCCTCAGGGCAGCTCTTAGGGGTGCCTCGGGATCGATCAGATCCGCGTCAGTCAAAATGGGGTGGGAAGGAGAAAGCGAAACCGCCAGCGATGCTTTGCGGTGTGTTGCTGCTGCGTTTCACCGGAGGAACTTGAACTCCCCTCTCACCAGAAAGCAGATCCTCAAAATATCTAATCCAAGGGCCGGCCAAGGGAGTGATCTTTGGGGCCAGGCCAAAGAAAAGATCTGGGTCATTGAATGAATGGGTTCTGCCATCCTTGCTCCTCCAGCCCTGATTGGTTCCGATGTTTGCTTGCCGACTAATTTTCTCGATTCAGAACCCTCCGAAAGCTGACTTAAGATACCAAAACAGTAGGGTGGTCAAGGCCGCCTTTCGGCCCCGGCCCGAGATTTGAGGTCAGACCCTTCCCCAATGCGGCCGGGGGGGGATGGACCATTTCGCAGGTCAGGAGATGAATCTTTAGCAAGCTTTTGTAGGATTCCCAAGCAGGAAGGCACCAACAAGCCTTTCGGCGGGTCTCTTGAATGGAGCTCCCAAAACAAGTTACTGGAACCAACTTTCTCGCCTTCCCCTCCCCTCCCCTCCCCTCCCCTCCCCTCCCCTCCCTCCCCTCCCCTCCCCTCCCCTCCCCTCCCCTCCCCTCCCCTCCCCTCCCCTCCCCTCCCCTCCCCTCCCCTCCCCTCCCCCCTCCCCTCCCCCTCCCCTCCCCTCCCCTCCCTCCTCCCTCCCCCTTCTTTTCTTCTTTTTTGTCTTCTCCTCCCCCTCCCCTCCCTCTCCTCCCTCCCTCAACTCCCTCAACGGATCCAGGGCGCCAGAGGCTGATCCCAGGCGAAGCCACGCACTGCTTGAGCCTCACGTTGCTCCTGAGACGCCAGCCGCGAGTTGTCCAGCAGTGGACATGCTGGACATGGGGGAATGAGGCTTCGGCGCCCTGGTTGTTGCGACAAAATGTGGAGAGAGAGAGAGAGAGAGAGAGAGAGAGAGAGAGAGAGAAAAAAAAAACAAAGGAAAGAGAGAGAGAGAAAGAAAGAGAGAGAGAGAGAGAGAGAGAGGGAAAGAGAAAGAGACAGATAGAGAGAGAGAGAGAGAGAAAGAGAGAGAGAGAGAGGGAAAAAGGGCGAAACAAAAGGATAAAGAGAAAGAGAAAATGAAAGGAAATGGAAAAAAGAGAGACAAAGAGAAAGGGAAAGAAAAGGGACAGGGGAAGCAAAAGTGAAAGAGAAAGGGAAAGGGAATGCGAAAGCGAAAGGGAGAGGAAAAGGGAAAGGGCCAGTGAGGTTGTGGCCAAGCAAGATAAGACAGGCAAGGAACAAGGGGATCACAATAGACTCTCTTCTCAGCGAGTAGATCGGCCTAAAAACAATCCGAATTGTTTGCCTACCCCAAAAACAAAAAGGACTTTCCAGATCAAGTCTGGCAACTCGGGCGTGATCAAGCAAAAGGAGGACAAAAGCGAACAGGCAACAACCGGAAATCCGTCGGGGCAAGTAGGACAGAACATAGATGACCAAGGTACGTAGCTGATTGGGACCTAATTGAATCCTGTGGAATCTACCCATGTTCCATCAAGCTGATCATGAAATCACTGGGTTCCCTTGGTCGATGAGCTTTTGTATCTTTTATGGCTAATTTAATGGGAAAGCCATTTGTGTGCAACGGGTCTCTCTGGTTTGGGCCGCGCCCGAGACTCCCGCCTCAGCCAGCAATTGCCCACATCACCTCAGCAAATCCATCGGGGCACTCGGCTTTCCAGATTTCCTGTGGTGCGCCAATCCCGGTGATTCCAGTGGCAAAGGGGTGGCTATAACGTTGACCCCATATGAATCAACCCCAGCTTATCAATATGGAGGTGGGGGCCCTCCAAAAGTGACCTGGCTCCCCATTAAGGCCATGGACACTGCTGGTTGATTCATATGGGGTCAACATTAACTGAGATCCGAAGGGCAATACATGAAGAGAAGATCCTGGGACGCTTAATGCGGTCTTCATGGTCTTCCCCCTTTGCGTTTTGCGCGTGGTATGTACATGATGGTCCTAAGGCAGTATCCTTTCAGTGGTACTCAAACTCCATCCAGAACGGTCTGGTCGGTTCCCAGCTCGGGGGAGCAAAGCAAAGCTCATCCAACCAGCGCTTGAGTTGCTGGTGAACAAATGGTTTTGAATGTTGAGCTGGGTATAGCTTGATATGAACGACCCAGACCGCATATTTCTACCAACAGCTTGAGGGTGGGAACACCCTCGAATCTGATTTGGTGGACGCACATATCACAATATACCTTTGGGAACACCAAAACTGGCTGGTGGACAGACATCGCCACGTGAATTGTGTCCAAGGCTCCCCAAAATGCGAACTCATACACAAAGCGCGTTTGTTCAAAATAGATCCGATGGCCCATATGCCAGCAAAAGCCCAGTTGATCTGCGCAAATTACAATGCTCACAAGAATTCACCCATCAGAACTATCCGACGAAATTATCACACCATCAAAGATCCAAGTACACAGTCGACTTAAGGTTTTTTTGCTTAATGTTTATGTTGGTCGTTCCTTGGTAGGGGACTGTGCACTTCCATGGTGGAAGGGCGGGTTATTATCTTCATGGACACAATAAATATGCTCCAAGAAAGGACCCCATGAGTCGGTGAGTTTGCAAACCCCGTTAGCGAGGTTGATTTCCACGTGCCCATTGGACAAAAAGCGCGTGCCTCATCAGAAAAGATCTCCAGTCTGTGGTCTCCCCCCCGAAAAGCCACAAGTTGGAGTCTCATTTGGGTTTGTATCAATTTCGGGGCTAGCGCCTTTTTTGTGCCCAATAAGGTCGTCAAATATGGCCCCTCGGGATATTGCACTTTCCTTGACAAGCAAGGTTGGTATCCTACAAAGACACACCCATGGGCTATGAAAGCAATGGGGTACGATCAAAAAGCAGATGGGAACAATGGGAAGAAAAGTCGAGCCACTTTCAGAAGGGGGTCAGCTGGGCACAACGTACAGCAGTTGACAAGGGCATTGGTAAACATATCGGGTGTTCGCTACTGTTGAACTCTTACAATGGATCAGACGCAGTTCAGGCAGTCAAGCATATCGACAACGCAAGACATCTAAGAAAAATTGACGAGCCTGGACTTGAACCGGTCTTCAGGATCTGCAAAAACAACAGTGCTTTGCAGGGTAAGAGTAACAAGTGGATGGCACAATTCCCGGTAATTAAGGTTGCCTGAGGCGATGACCTTCACACAGCGAAGGAAGCGTTCCATCTACAAATACCCACGTCAACCAAAACCCTTGGCCTGGGCTATGTTAAGGTCCTAAGAGGGCATCTTTACCAGTTGAGCTTCATTTTTAGACCGAGCTCACGCTTGAGTTTCTGCAAAGATGCGGATTTTGTTGAGCAAGTTACTATGAATCCCAAGCCTAAAACTCGGAATCCAAGTGACTTGCTGGTGCTCACTAGGGAATGACCCAGGGTTTTGGGAATGAACCTAGGCATTCCATTCAAGGAACCATACAGGATGCTTTTCTCGGGGTCATTCCAACTCATTCCCTTCTGAGCACCAGCAAATTTCCGCTGTTTCTCCAACGAGAGATCCAATCCCCCTTTTGAACGGCTTGCGCCGGTTCAAATTGGCCAGGTTACTCGGTTCCCTGGCATAAAAAATGAAATTGCGCCCTTCTGGGGCGGCTGCAAGCCCCTGGATTCCCTCCAACACAAAGGAGACAAGTGCAGCGAAGCAACCAGGGCGTCCGGGAAATGAATCGACGTCAAAACCTGAAATGAGGAATCCCAAGTATAGGGCTTAGATCGCGGATTTTTCGCTCCTACCCCTGGAGTGGACGAAAATCGGCAGATTGGAACTCAACACTTCAGCCCCCCCCCCCCCCGCCCCCCGCCGTTTCATTTGCCAACCCCTTCGTTTCGCCGAGAGGCCGAAGGATTGGTACAAGGCGCCCTCACAGGCAGCCTGCTTCTCGCACTCCTGAAGGCCACGAGGCCTTTAAAAACTGGGCTGTCCGTTTTCGGATCCCCTGCCGCCGCTAAAAGCGACGAACTTGTTGTGGGTCAAATACGGAAATCCCCGCTATACACTAAAAAGCTGAAAAGCTAAGGGACCGGATGGCTGGGAGCCACCAAGCAACTCATAAGCTTCCGTGTCTCAAGGAAAGTGTGATTGGGCTGAAGCCACATGCAAAGAACAAGTATGATCAAGGATTGTATTGATTTCAACTTGCCACCCTTAAGCTCCCAAACTCCCTGCATCTCCCCGCCCCCCGCCCCCCCACCCACCCCACCCTCCACAAACACTCCCCAAACCCTCCGCATCCGCTCAAACCCGCCCCCTTCTCTCCAAAAGAACAGCAAACCACCAATATTTTGTGTTGCTCCTTTCACGGACTCACTGGAATGTCGGCGGTTTTCCTGGTGGCTCCGTGTAGCTTCCGCGCGTTCCTCTGGGTGTTACTCATCTGGGTGGTTCCCAAACTTGCGGACCCTTTGCAACACCCCTGGAACTCCATCCCCCACTTTTTTCGTACCACGCTCATGGACCCTAGGGAGAGGTCGACCCCTCTTTTGGTCGGCACCCCCCCCACATGCAGTCGGGAGCCAAAAGTTGAAAGGCTCGGAGCCCTCTGGAGGTCGTCTCCTGAAAACAATCCAACACGCCAGATGTCCCCTGGCACCGCTTTATCAGCCCATGTGATGCTTGAACACTAAGATGACTCTGGACCCCTGAAAAAGGGGGACTTCCTCTCCATCCCCAAAGGTCATTCCGGTTCATTCCCCCTGAAAACCATCCAAAAAAGAGGGAGCCCTATCCAAGGGCACCGATTCCATTCCCATTTGGGAATGAATTTGAATGGGTCCCAAACCCTTCACTAGACATCATTCTGTTGGTGGGGGCGCCACTTTTGAGGGTGGGTCCAACTCCTTAAAATCCGAGCCATTGCCGAGGCGGAACCATCGGGCTTCAAGGGGTCTTTGGGAGTTGGCGACGTCCAACAGGCTCGGCAACTCATAGCCGTTTGGATGTCTCTCTGCTGGTGGCTAACGCCCCTTTTTGTGCTTAACAAAACAAAAGGACACCATGCGTTTTTGGAAGCCCGTATTTTAAGACAAACCCCTTTCCCAGAAACCCGAAGTCCGTTTCGCTGGTGCCGCCTCGCGCCTCGCGCCTGGCGCTTCGCTCGAGTCGGCTCCTGCAGACAATCCTCGAGGGAGCGGAGGCCCACGTAGTCCTCGCCGTTGGGCAGGCGCTCCCCGCCGAAGCCGAAGAAGCAGTTCTCGTCCTACAGCCACGCGTCAGCCCCACAGATTGGGGCCTTGGTGGACGTCGGAAGGGGAGCAGAAATCTAAATTTTAGCAGCTAAGTGGGGACTTCCCACTAAACCACAATAAGCAACAATGTAAAATGTAAAATGTGGATGGGCCCAGTGACTTCCATTTGCCTATGCAACCCTAGAGGGGAAAGCCCACCAGTGCATCCAGGCGAGGCAAAGATAGCAGGTGATGCAAGGGCCGAAGAAAACAAAATGAGGGGGTGTGCGCTAAAGCCAAACTTAGTCACAATTGCAGCAGTATAGGTGGCAACCGAATAGTTAGGTCCTTATGTCAAGGGTGCACGATGAGGTGAATGGCTTAACAGGCCCGGTGATTCCATTTACCGCTATGTGTATGCATATTATTGTATGTGTTTTTGGAGTTGGTACTGTGGGTTACGCTAGTTTCGGCAACCAAGGGAACCATCCGTTAATTAACCCGTTAACCAAAAGAAACATGGCAAGTACCTACACTGCCTGTACTGGTAATTGTCATGCACTGGGATTAACAGGAAACCCCGTTCAAAGCAACCCCTAACAGCAGTACAGCCCTGGTTTTTGCAATCCCCGAAATATTGGATGGCTTGAAAAGGGCAACCTTCACGCCATCTTGCGTGGCAGATGGTCTCAAAAGCAACCAGTTTCCTTTTTACAGGGGTGAGTAATCCAAACTTTGTTACCTCATGATTCACATGAAGGGCTATGCGGAGATAGACTGGGGAACTGACAAGAGGACGAAGGCAAAGGCATGCCCAAGGCTTCCACTTAGCACTAGTTTGGATGGTTCCTTATCTCTAGGTTTTACATGGGTATGTGTGTGTGTGTTGTGCTTGGGGATGTGCCTTTCCCTTGTTGGACAACACACACACACGCACACGTGATGTTCTGTTACCTATGGTTGACTGGAAGCAATGGGTGCTCCAATGGAAACTCCTGGACACCTACAACTCTATAGGAACCCCGGAGTAAGCCTGTACAAAATGTCACCCACCTTTGGTGCTCCGTATTCTGAAAGGGGGCACCTCCAATGAGAATCAAGCTGTTTCCCCCAACGGCTGAAAGCAACGGGGCCTCTGCCCCAATAAGCTCTTGGGTGGTTCGGAGCAGTGTTCAGGGAAGGTTCTGGAAGATTCCAGAGGGTTCCGGCCCTGTTGGGGATATTGCGAAACGAACCCCGTGTGAAGGGTTGCATATCCATATCCACCCTACAAACCACCCCAAGGATGCCTTGGATGTCCAATCGTCAGGTAAGTAGGCGATCTCAGCATGGTTACAACTTGGACAACTGGGGTGATCGTCCCCCTGCCATGGCTGAAACCTTGGATGTGATGTCATGTTTTAATTGGGGACCCTTTGGTGTGTGGGGATTCATGGGTTCCCAACCCAAAAGAACGCAGCCACTTCAGTGGCTTGAACCTCCAAGTCGGCTCGTGAGCGAAAGGCTCCTGTCTTGGGGTCCATCGCCAGCTTGCGGGAGTTGGGCTAGAGAACATCAACGCACAAAATGCAAGCAACACATTGGGTGCTTATCTTCTTGAAAAACGCACACATTGTTTATATACATGCATACATGCCTTCTTATTCACTTATAGCATGGGCTTTGAAAAACAAATGCCTCGGGTTTTAATAAACGCCCAGGTCAAGGGAGTGTTCAAGTCCAGCCCGGTTCAGAAATGCCTTGAGGTATCCACGGCAAGCTTTACCCGGGAACGGGTAGAGGCCAAGGGTAGCTTTCATCGGAGGGGATGTCTTTTTGACCATGGTACACATGGACCCTCTAGTGGGTTTTGGTTTTGGACCTCATACAGGAATTGCTTTTTGAGAGTCCAAAATGCTTTCAGGGGATCAGTGGCTTCAAGAAGGGAACAAGGAGGTCGTGTACACGAAGCCCAACAGCCTGCCAACACTTCTCTACTCCCTATGGGAATCGCCTCAGCCATTGGGGGTCCATGTGTGCTGTGGGCCATGGTGGTTCGCTGGTTGTCTAAACTCAACAGTGCCTGACCCCTATTAACCCAAGCCAAGGAGCCGGTGTGTTGAATCTGGCGGTCCCCTTCAACGCGAAGCAGGGTCTCCGGACGCTGTGAAAGCCAACAGCCTAAGCACCCCAAGTCAACAGCCTCTCCCCCCGCCCCACTTGCAGATTCCATGTTTGCTCTTGGGAGGAGAAAGGGACAGTCTTGACCACTTCTGCTAGTTTCGGAGCTGTCCATTGTTCGATGTCGACCATACGCTGAAGCGGCCCACACAAGTGGCATTTTGGGGTTGGTCCCCAAATGGGGTCGGTTTACAGGGAAACAAACCATTGGGGCTCCGGTATTTTGAGACGAATGCAAACGTGTCGTTTTCGCCGGGTTCATAGAATGCAACCTCCCTTAAACCCCCCCCCCCCGCCCGCCCCACCACCTCACATCAGGGCGCAGCTGTTGACCCAACTTGGGTATGCGAACCCCAAAATGGGGAACACCAAAAAATGGGAAACCTCAAAAATGAGCAACCCCAAAATTGGGAAACCCCGAAAATGGGCTGGGTTCCCCCCATGGGAAAGGATCCTCTGCGTAAGCGCATCCCTCCACTCCTTCGCCTCGCTCCAAAGCTGCGTGAGGCTCGGCTTGGTGGTGACCGTGCTACTGGCGAAGCGGTTGGTTGCCATTCTGCCCAGCGTCCACTTGTGGATTCGCGTGCCCTAGAACAAACTTTGAACATCAGTGATACATTCCCTTTGACTCACTTCCGATTGAGTGGCCCAAAACCAGTCCGAGCTGTTTGTTTACCAGTCCCAAACTTCATGAATAAAGTCTTTAACTCAGGGAGTGAGTTGACACCAAGGCGGGGGGAATAAAAACAAATATGGGGTTGGATCATCTGGGTGGCCACAGTTCTCAACCCGGTACCTAGGTACCTGAACCCAAGAAGAACTGCATGTGGGGTCAAAAATAAGTCAAAATGGGTTGCCCCTAGTAAATAGAACCGAGGACCAAAAAGCCTGCGGTCCATATACTGGTGTAACGTTCACCGATACCCAACTGATTCGTCAGTGGCTTCCCAAACAACCAGATTCTACCTACTGTGGATGGACGAAATCCTGCACCACTTAAGAAACCCTGCAATGATACGATTCCCGTGTAAATACCAACAAACAATGGTTTCAACCATGGTTTCAAAGTGGTGCGAACTGATTTCGTCCATCCACAGTATCATGAAGCCTGTACCGGACAAATGGCAACCGCCAGAAAGAAGGGGTCGAACTGCATGACCCTTGTCATGACCAGCAGAGCGGGCACTTGCTCGCCTCCTGAGTGCCACCGGAACCTTAAACGCTTTGCTTGCCAGTGAAATCTTTGCCAGTGAAATCCGCAAAAGAAGAACAAACAAACAAACAAACAAACAAACAAACAAACAAACAAACAAAGAAACAAAGAAACAAACAAACAAACCAACAAACAAGCAAGCAAGCAAGCAAACAAGCAAGCAAGCAAACAAGCAAACAAGCAAACAAGCAAACAAGCAAACAAGCAAACAAGCAAACAAGCAAACAAGCAAACAAGCAAACAAGCAAACAAGCAAACAAGCAAACAAGCAAACAAGCAAACAAGCAAACAAGCAAACAAGCAAACAAGCAAACAAGCAAACAAGCAAACAAGCAAACAGACAGACAGACAGACAGACAGACAGACAGACAGACAGACAGACAGACAGACAGACAGACAGACAGACAGACACACAGACAGACAGACACACAGACACACAGACACACAGACACACAGACACAGACACAGACAGACACAGACACAGACAGACACAGACAGACACAGACAGACACAGACAGACACAGACAGACACAGACAGACACAGACAGACAGACAGACACAGACAGACACAGACAGACACAGACAGACACAGACAGACACAGACAGACACAGACAGACACAGACAGACACAGACAGACACAGACAGACACAGACAGACAGACAGACAGACAGACAGACAGACAGACACACACAGACAGACAGACACACACAGACAGACAGACACACACAGACAGACAGACACACACAGACAGACAGACACAGACAGACAGACAGACACAGACAGACAGACAGACAAACAGACCGAAAAAAACAAACCAAATGAAAACAAACCAAGCATAAACAAACCTGCAGAGCAGCTTGTACCGCCTACAATTAAAAGCAGCAGACTATGTTCATCTGCGTCTTTCCGCTTGGGGAGGTTCCAGTTCCGGTTGCTCCTCGTGGCGGTCATCGTGGTGTGCGTGGTGGTAAGACCTCAGACACCGCCGCACGAGAGGTGAGAAAAGCGTCTGGGTACCCAGAGGCTCCCGATTGATGTAGGGCCCTGAAACAACCAGGCTTTGAGATCCCCCAAACATTTTGCGGGGAATGGAGGGGTTTGAGATCCCCCAAACACCTCCGGGCTGTCCAATGGAGGGGTCTGGGTCTTCCATTGAAAGCCCTGGAGCCTCTGGGTAATGTTGACCCCATATTAATCAACCCCAGTTTATTAGTTGGGGGACGTTCCCCTCTAAAAGTGATGATTCCCACTGAAACCAGGGACAGGCCATATTAGGTTGGATACTACGGGGTCAACCTTGTTCCCCAATCGATTGCACTCCCTCGAATGTCAGGGGGTTTGAGGGACCTCCATTGGTTGTGGGTTGTTCTTTGCCTCAATTCAATTAATTGCCTTGAAATGAGGGTCCGTCAACGATGCTGAACGGGTATAAGAGACCTTAATGAAATCCCCCGAAATCATCGGTGGTTTCCCCCATTGAAAAACCAACACCTTGGCTTCCTGTGAACAAATCACCCAACTGGGTCAGCCAATCAACAGAAGTGGCGGTAGATTCAGCACCCTCTGAATATCCGCCTTACCATAATCTTTAATTTGAGGCCTCTCCAGCAACACTCTCTGTGGTGGGTTCTTTTTGGGGAATCCTGCCAGTCTGCCAGTGTGCAACACGAAGGACGTTGGCCTCTCTTCGCCGAACCGCTTCACCGAACCGGCGGTTTGCGATCGATGAGGTTCCGGGTACAACCTGGACAAGAAGGTTCCGGGTCGGGGGGTTTCCAATTCCACTTGTTTGGTCTTTGAAACAGCACCGCAAAATGCAATCGGAGGCTTTGGGCAGAGAGACCTTAGGGAAGGGGCGGTGGGATTCGACGACTTGCTTAGATATAAAGAGTCCGAGCTGCTGGCATTCGCGACAGTGCGGTGACAGGACAGGGCAAAATCCAAAACATCAAATGAAAGCTCTGGCTAGAGCCCCCTGTACAACCAATATTCCAAGTCGTTTTTCTGGGGCAAATGGGTCTCTCTCTTTTTGCGGCACCTCCATGGATCTCGGTGCTCCCTTCAAAACCAACCAAAAGGAAATACCAACTCTAAGAAGGACGCCCCCAAATGGGTTGTCTTAAAATCGGGGAGCCCCAACAATCGTTCTTTTCAGTTTGGTTTCCCTTTTTCGCCACCCCACAAAAGGGCCATCCAACTGAAGATCCCCTGGCCCAGCCGTTTCATTTTCGGGGCTCCAGGCTGCTAGAGCTGGTCCTCGTCGAGCTGGTCGACGTCAGCGTGGTCGTGGTCGGAGCCTGGCGACCGACCGAAGGGAGGGGGGGGGTGAACAACAACAAAAAAACAATTGTACTATAGTTTGCCTCGGCTTGAGGGTTTTTCCCCTCTAAGCCAACCTCAGGGCACTCTGCAAAAGAAGATTCCCCTTTTTTCGGTGACCAAGCGGCCCTCAATGATCCTGCGAAAGCGGAACGACACCACGAATGGCCATGGCTCGCGCGGGGGGGGGTGGAGTGCGGGGGCGGGGGGTGGCGGTAGGCCGTTGGGAAGCCCTCAGTGAAGTTTTATTAAAAGAGTTTGGGCAAATTGGGGTACCCAGCCGACAGGCGGGCCCTACAAGAGAAAAATCATCATCCAGGTACTCTCCCACATGTGCTATGTTAGTGGGAGGGAGGATAGTGACAACCCCAACCATTTGTTTCAAGGTTGTATCTTGCCCTGTTAGGGCAGGACCAAAGATTACTGTAAACAACCAAGCTCTGGTCCTGATGCACCTGCGTAGACTCATCCCCAAAATCATGCTGACGTTATGACCTCCCCATATGCCTCCATGTGCGAATACGCCCCCAGGAAAAACAGAAATATGTCAAGACGGTGAAATCAATTCCCTTCAAAACCAGCAGGGGAGAAGAACAAATATTTGCTTCAGCAAATGGAAGTACCCGGACCCTCAAACTAGCCTGGAAAAAAATTGGGATTTCACCCCATATATATATATATATGTGTATATATATATATATATTTGTTTTTCTGGCGATAACCCATAAAAAAAGAAGGGAATTTGGAGGGTCCAGGTATGGCTTCGCATCTGCAAACTCCCAAGGCGCCGTGTCGCCAAACGCCTCGTGGCGCAGGCAAATGTACCCGGTCATCTCCACGCTCGCGCGGACCAGCTCCACATGGATCTGAAGCCGAAACCCGAAACCAGCGAGCGCCCGTCATAAAGGTTCACCTGTTGACTATAGCATTTTTTGTCTAATGTGTGGCTCTCGATTTTCTGGTATTTGTTGAATCCCAAAGAGTTCACAATTAACATGCAAAACAAAATTTGTGGTTGTATTGTAAGTTGAACCCAAATTGCATAGTCTTACCATTGTTCATGTATTTTCGTAATGAGATTCATTGTCATGTTTCATGAGACCAGCTAGAAACCGAACAGCATCGCCGGAAATCCACGGATCAGGTTGGACGTTTCGAGTCTCCTTTGATTTGGATTACGTACTACCCTAAAGCTTAACATGGAATCCAACACCCCACCATGTTTGGATCGCAATGACCATTTGGGGACCTCTTTTGGGGCATGTCAATGTGTAGGGGAGTACCTTACCCCCTTTACCATTGGCATCAATAACGGACCCCCACAAAAGTGAATGCCCGCACCAACCTCGGATCGGGCCAGCACGGGAAACCCTCAGCACGGGGGGAACAAAAAACAACGGGGGCGGGCCATCGCTTTTCGCAAACTTTAGGTCGACCCCCAACTAATATATTTTTTGCCACACTTTATCAGGGTCCCTTGTTCCGTGGCTTTTGTGCCAGGAGGGAATACCTGCAAGGATTGTGAATCGGGGGGAACTCTACGATTTAAGAGAAGACCCTTCAATACTGGAATGTTTGGTCATGCCAATACAAGGACCATGAGGGTTCCTTGTTGACTATCCCAATGCAAACGTAGTCAACAAACATTGAGATTGATGGAAGGACAATCGGCGCGTGCTTCGTGCGAAGCGGGGGTCAACAATGAACTCGGAGGTTTCGTTTGCCGAAGTCTGCGTTTTGATTGTGGCCGGTCTGGAAAAGGTGAAATTGTCCATCCCCTTGCTCGTTTCCCGTGAGGGGAAACTAACAACGGGGTGTTAAGCACCTAGAAAACCGAAACAATGTAGAATCATCTTTCCCCCCGATTGGTGGTTTGGAGCCCAGTGGTTTGGACGTGTTCCGGGGTGGTGTCCCATTTACCCTCTACAAGAACCAGGGGTTCAATTGCCCCAACCAATCCAAAACCACCAAACAAGGGTTGCCTGATAAAACTTCTCATGGGCTTTAAAGCCTGAACTCTAAAAGTCTAAACTAAAACTCTAAACGACTCAAAATCAAAGGGTATGGCTGGGAGTCGCGTAAAACAAGCAAAGAATGAAACACAGCGTTACGACCGTTCGAATCTTTTCCTGGTTGAGTTTGACACCACTCCCCACCCCCCCCCAAGCACGGATGGCCAGGGCTGTGCTCCATAATCCCTAGAGATAAGCCCCACAAAGTGGGGACCAACTCCCTACCCCAAGGATTTCTTGAAAACCTGCGGATTCCCCTGGCCAACCCCAAGGGCTCGGTTTCTGCCGAAGGGATCCTCTTTCTGCAGGCCTGGCACATCTCCTCCTCCTGGCTATAGCCTGAGGCGTCTTGGTTCTGGCCGTGACTCGTGACTCGTGGGACCCCAGAAGAGTGGCGGCCCTGTTGCGACCTCCCCCAAGAAAGAAACACTCCTAGACTCCAAGAGGCTGGTATCCGCAAGCTTCTCGCGTCCACCTAAAAAAAAAAACTCCCCCACCCCTCCCCCCAACCGCAAAGTCGGGACCCTAAGAGACAAACCTCCAGGGATCCCTCTTTCTTAAAAACTAAGCCCGAGGGCCCAAGAAAACAGAACAAGCCCAGAGGTGACAGATGTGGACGCAAACTGAACACAGCTGATTAGATTCAGCCCAATTCCATTCCATCACCACCTCTCCGGCCCAAACGGAGTGGCAGAAATTCACCCTCATTGCCGAACAAAGACGCTCCAGAAATTTGGCCCAAAGCACACGGCGAATTCGCCTATGACATGTCTCAACCAATGTCTGAATATATATATATATATAATACAAATAGCTCTATATGGCTATATAGATGCATCCATGTGCCAAAGGCCATCATCTCAAATATACAATATGTATGTGTTCATACATATATATATATATATGTATACATATATATATATATATGATATGTAGCAGGATCATAGCAATTCACACCTTCCTCAGCTGGCGCCCTCGGCTTCCGCGCTGATACCTGCGCAGCCAGTGGTGGCGGCGCTCTTCTCGCACAAAGCGCGGCACTTCTCCAGCGCGCGCACCTCGAGAGGCCGTCGAGGCAACTCGGCGCGTGGTTCTCCAAAACGTCAGCGTGCTCTCTGATTGGAGGTATTAAGCACCTCGTGAACAAAAATGGCGAGACGGAGGTGAACAAAAATGGCGCCATGTGTCTGGGTAGTAATGTTGACCCCATACTGTGGATGGTTGCGAAATCCGTTCGCACCACCTGAGAAACCATGGTTGAAAATCATAACCCTTCTCGTTGCATTTACGAAGGAATCGAATCATTCCAGAGTTTCTTAGGTGGTGCGAAATGGATTTCGTCCATCCACAGTAACAAGCACCTGGAAAACCCGAAACAATGTAACATCCTCTTCCAGGAGGTGTTTCCCTTTTCCTCTCTACAAGAACTACGTAGGGGTTCAACTCCCCAAACCACCAATCCACACCACCAACTGATGGGTACCTGAAAATGAAAGCCAAAAGGAAACCAAAAGGAAACCAAAAGGAAACCAAAAGGACCTGAACCAAAAGGAAAAGACCGGAAAAACCAATCATGTTAGGAGGTTCTGAAAACAGGACTCGGAAAAATCCTGGTTGGGGGGCCCTCAAAAAAAACTCTGTCTCAACTGTTGGGAAGCCTTTTTGGGTGGTTTTAACGGAAATTATAGGGAAACCCTTGCGATTGGGGACCGATGCCCCCAATTCGAGTCGATTCGCGACGGCGCAGAAACGGAGAAAACTGACAAGGAAAACAAGAATCAATCTGTATGAGGGGTCATATACCCAATCTTTCAGGGTGACCCCATTTGTTGTTTTTGAAGAGTCACAAGAACATACTTCCCATTCGGTTTCGGTGCCCTTCTCTCCAAGATCAAAACAGCCTCTTGAAGGGACCATTTCGGTGAGTGTGTTGTTTGCCGGGGGGGGGGGGGGAACCTCCTTTTGGTTGGTTTTACAGTAACACCAAAAGAACATCGCCCACCTGGAGTTCCAAATTTTGACGCAGGCCCATTTCTTTGTCGCCTTGGCAAGAGGACGGTTGGCAATTCGTTTCAAATCAGCCTCGGTTCCTGCAGGTTTTCGTGATTCAGACCTCAAATGGACAACAAAATCAGGAGCATGTTCTCTTGGTTTAGCCCTTAAACCCCTCAACTCGTGGGTGGCGGGCTGAACATGACAAGTGGATGTTCACTGCTTTCCTCGTATCAGAACGAGGCTCACGCATCTGACTGGCCGCACACCCGCGCTCAAAAAGGAAATCGCCCTTCCGAAGAAGGGGTGGCCGTGGGAAGTGGTAGCGATAGCTTTTCGCCAGGTGGTTTGGGCTGGTCTGGGTTGGTTAGGCAGGCTTTCCCCTCTTGCCAATCCTCAATATTCAAACCACCAAGTGAAAGTTCCGGATAATCTGTTTCTTCCACTTGCGACGGACGTGACAAAATGAGCCATGCCCGAATCTTGGCACCTAGCCAATGGCCTTCAAAACCCCCCGGACCTGCGGGTAGTCGACCCGGTCAAAGTGGGCCTCGCCGGAATCCTCGTGGCCTCGGTCAAAAACGGGGCCTCGAAGATGGCAGGTGTCCCTTTGGTTTCTCTCCACCAACCAAAAGGGGGGTGACCAAATGACACACCAAAAAGGGGATAACCCCCAGGGGGTGACCAAATTCATTTGGTGACCAACAAAAAAGACACACCAAATGATGAACTTCAAGTTGGAGCCTGGGGGGAGGGGGGGCTTTTTTGAGGCTATTCTTATTGGGGTTGCTCTTAAAGGAAAAAACTAAAGGGAAACCACCTCACTGGGGAGTGGTTCCCTCAAAACAAGACACACCCACATTGTGGATTTGTGGTTCTGAATCAGTAAATAGGGGCTGTCTTAAACTAGCGGCAAAACCCCACGTAGTGGTTTCACCCAAAACCCAGTGAGAGAATGTTCAACCCATTCCACGGCTCCGCACAGGGGTAGGAATTCGGTTGCCAACAAGGGGAGACTAGAGGAAATTAAGCCACGTGTGTCGAACATGTATTGAAAGCTCGGAGAACACCTGCTAACAAAATGTTGGCTCTGGGATAGCGCCTCGTTCCACAGTGTATCTGCGGAGCCAAGACTGCAACATACTGCCCAACGAAAATGCAGCTCATGGTTCTTTTGCTTGTTGCATGTTTTGTTTTTTGTTTTTAACGATAAGATGAGACTCCAATCCGATGTTGCAAAATGTGCGCTCAAACCCTGCCACTGCGAACACAAGTTGGAAGGATTTGCTGGTTTGGACATGGTGAAAAATGGCACTTGGTTCTAAGGGAAACCCATCCCCCCAGAAAATGGCCAAACAAAAAGGTACGGGATGTCTGCAAACTGAGGTGCTGGGAGCCATCACATGTTGGAGCGCTCGCTTCTTGACAGCCCGTGCTTGCAAGAAACGTGACGTGAAATACCCGAGGCTTGCCGGCTGTCAGTCCTTGAAACCCAACAGGGTCGAGAAATTCTTGGGAGGCTTCTGTTGCCAGGGCAAAGTCGCTTCGGCAACTGGACGCCCGCTGTTCTCCAATTGCACCTTTCAAATTAGAGAACCCTCCAAATGGAACTACACCTGTGATCCTTCCAAAAAGGAAATACACCCCTGCGGCTTTCGGAAAGCCAAGGGGTCAAATCAGGGCAACCCTTCAAAGAAATGCAGATGGACAAAGACAACACACCAAGCGCCAGGGACGAAACCTCATTTGACGGGTTGGAAAGGAGAGTTAAAAGTCATGCATTGAACAACCAGAATTCCAACCGGTGGGTGTATCACAAAACACGGCACCCCCCCCCCCAACAAAAAAAGAGAAAGAAGTAAAACATTGAAAAAAAGGGGCACCCTCCAAAACAGAGGGCTGGTCTTTCTGTGTCAGGATCCCAACTCACAACCCTAAAGCAACCCGCAACCTAAAGGACGTCATTTTAGGGGTCCCCTAAAAAGGGGCGGAAAACTATTGGCCACTAAGAGCGGAAAAAAAAGAACCAAGAGCGGAAAAAGTAATAGTAGTAGTAGTAGTAGTAGTAGTAGTAGTAGTAGTAGTAGTAGTAGTACTAGTAGTACTAGTAGTAGTACTAGTAGTAGTACTAGTGGAATCCGGATTTCGGGGTGCTGGCGGGCAATGCCCTTTCTCTGGGACCAGACCAAAAAGGGAATCCGGATTTCGAGGTGCTGGCCGGCAATGGGGCCCGAAAAGCGGATTCCCTCTCTCTGGGGCCAGACCAGAAAAGGAATCCGGATTTCGAGGTGCTGGCGGGCAATGGGGCCCGAAAAGCGGATTCCTAGTCGAGCCTCACACTCCGAGGCCACGGCTGAGGCCTGTCAACAGAAAAAGCGCGCTGTCGTGCCTTGTCTAAGCATGTTTCGGTTTACATGCAAAGTCAGTCTGAGCGTGTCTAAACGTTTGTGTGGCTAAATGGCTTCAGCGAGAAACGTGCTTAGCCCGGCCCCGTGCCCTGGCGTCAAATCACCCCTAGCCTTCGGCTCCGGAGATGCTGGAGACTGCGGTGCCCATTCTTCCTTGCGAGCCGTTGGCCCAGTCACAACGTCCGCAAACGGAGGTGTCCTCTGATGACCCGGCTTCAGACATGCACCGCTTGCGAGACAATATTGTAAGGGCGCTCGCCTGACACGCCAAGAAGCAGCATGCGCAAAAGATCCCACATGAGGCCGGCGCTGGATCTGCCACGGGAGAATTAAACGTGCCGCGGAACGGCATGAAGCACTTGGAAAACAAGGCAGTAGACGCAGCAAAAAACAACACTTGCTCGAAGACACGGAAACAAAAGATTGAAACGTTGACCTTGGTGTTATTGGATCTCGGCCCAGCTACGATGTAGAAAGCACGCGCATGGTCGGCGCTGACAGCATGCGCATGGTCGGAGCTCATGATCATGTTTCTTCAGCCTGCATACTGCCTTGCTGCGCACTAGCAGCTGAATAGCCTTGAGCCATATGAACACAAAACCACCCCCGAGTTGGGCTTCTCAAACACCGAAGTCTATACAAGCACCAAGTCCCGATTCCCCAATCTCTTCACCCAGTAGAGCGAACCCATCCAGCTTCCCAGGGGTTTGGCCCGTTATTGAGAAGGATCCCTGGAGAGAATGGAAATGGAAGGTGCAGCTAGATGAAGTTTGATGAGGGACCCTTTGGTGGTCATCTAAACTGAGGTGGTTCCCTCTTGAAATTCATGGCCCGCACTCCCCTTGAACACGTTGTTTTACCCCAGGTGCTCCGCGCTGCGGGGGCTGGCGGCGCCCCGTTCCTTGGATGCAAGGTGGGAGCAGCTTTAACTTAAACAGCACGCGTAGCAAGCCAGAACGAACTGAGGACGCAAAGCAAAGCAGCGCCCTTTTCATCACGAGTTCTCGCTCTGATGCGTTGGGCCCACCATCAGTTATACCTCCTGGCAGAAGAGCGTCAAACAAAGGGCAGAGCCCTCTCATCAAGCCAAGCACGCAGTTTCAGTGCTCTCTCCTCCTTCGACGTGCCCAGGCATCATCAGCCTCATCGTCATACTTCTCCTGGCGCGGAGTCAGCCTATCAACTTGCGGCCGCCTTATTAAGGACAATTGCGCTGCTAGGCGGCAGCGTCACAACACAACGTATTTTAGCACAACGCTGGCGCAGCCAAAAGCATTCTAGGCGGACCATTGCTGCGGTGCTCCTGCTTTCTCTTGTGGTCCGCGGCCTCTGCCTGCCCCAGCCAAATCACGCAGAAATTGGAAGCTGTGCTAAGCGAAGGTGAAAAGTTACAAGTATGGGTGACACAGAGTTACACCAAGCAAGGGATACGCCAGTTGCGCCGTGCGCTTCAGAGACCCCTTGTTTGATTGAAATATCTTGCTGAAAAAGGGTCAGATGTGGAGCCCCTCAATTTTCAGTCGATTAGTTTGGGGTAGTATTTCGGCCGGGGCCAGCTAGCATTGCCAACGGCAATATCTTCTATTTTAACTGCATCTGGGCACCCCGCCGCAGGTGCCCAAATCATGCATACACAGGACACCGGTGTTTGGAGCCTTTTGCGGAATCAGCCCCAAAATTGGTGATTTGCAACCACTTGTGTCATTTCCCTGCCAAAAAACGCCTAAGACCTACTATTTGCAAAAGCAAATTCTTCTATTTGAGATGTTTGGTGGCCCTCAAGAAATTTTGAGAATCGAGGGGATTCTGTATCTGTGCCCAACGGAAGTATGTGTACCGTCCCTCCGAACGTGTGCAAAAGTAATGTGTAATCACCGCAGACACTCGGTAAGCTCGAATACGATCTTTTTCCTTATGCCTCCGCAGTGGCTCTGCCACAGTTTATAACACGAAGCTTGGGCCTATTGGGGCCTAGCAAAGTATGCAGACTTCAGCCAAATGTGGCCGCATGTGTTGGGTCAGTTTTGTTTTATACATGCCACTGGCAAACCATTCACAAATTAGTGCTCTCTAAAGAACGGCCAGGCCTTTGGCCGCGCTTTTGCCTCCAGCTTTGGTTTCTGCGGCAGCGGCGGGCGCTTTGCATCGGTCTTTGGTTTCGGCGGCGGTTGCTTTGGGGGCTGCTTTTGGCGGGTGCGCTGGGTGCTTCGGCCTTAACATTGCTTGCCCCGCAGCCTCTGCCTTGTGCGGTTGTTGTTGCGTGGTTTTCGGCTGCTGCTGCTGCTGCTGTCAGCATCCGCCCGCCGCTCAGGGCTGTGTTTCTCGCCGCCTACTTGGGCAAGCTCGCCGTTGTTACTTCCTCTGCGCCATCCTGTGAGCAAAGCAAACATCATAACTAACGAATGTGGCGTCGCGAATTGTTGGCTCGACCAAGACATCAACAAACCAAGGCCCGTCTCATCCCTTCTACATACCTGACCTGTTGTTTGACTTGATTTGGATGTTTACCAACTTCCTGCTCGCCAGTACTCATCCCTCTACGGGCCCGCAGAGCCTCACATGGGGCCTTTCGCTATAAAAGCCTTGAATCAAATGCTCTCTTAGAGATTTGTGAAATCTGGGTCGTAAAAAGAGAGCTTCCCTAGGAAGTTCCAGAAGTGGTCAAGAAGGCTTTCCTAATCTTGCGCCAGTCTCCCAGGCTCAACTAAGCTGGCGGACCCGTCTCTAGCGTGGCATCCGCAGGCTGTTGTTCTGCGTTCTTGAAGGAATCACCTCTGCAAAGCCCCCAGAAGCAACGTGGGGATTACCCTCCAATGTACGCAGAGCCTGCCAGGTAGAGAAAAACCCACGAACAGAGCCTCATATTTATCGAGCTATCCTTGTGCCTACAAACATACCTGAACCATGAGGTGCACCAAATCGGAAAAGTTGGCATCCGTGGTGGACTGCGGCTCTGCGGCAGCCGTGGTGGACTGGCGCCTCCTGTGCTGCGCTGTGCTCTGCGGCTGCCGGATGCTGCGCAGTCCAGATTCCGCAGTGCGAGCAAGGTACCCCAGTCCACCACGCATGCCACGGATGCCGCAAGTCCACCGCACTGCGCAGCAGCAGTCCGCACGGTCAACCACGTAGTGCGCTGCGGCTGCCACGCGTGCTGCGCAATCC